CAGAGGGGACAGGCAAGGGATTGTGACCAATCAGAGCAGAGGGGGACGGACACATTTAGTGCCAGATCATCTCTTGTTTTTGCCCCGCAGGACAGAGGGGACAGGCAAGGGATTGTGACCAATCAGAGCAGAGGGGGACGGACACATTTAGTGCCAGATCATCTCTTGTTTTTGCCCCGCAGGACCCCATTTTCCTTTGTGTGGTGACAATACACAGTTTTCCCTATGGGGTCTCCCTCTCCAGCCCCCAGGCTTCAGGGGTGGGACTCCCCATCAGCACTGGCTAATCAATACCCCCATCACCACAGCGAAGGCTCCCAGCTGGGCTTGAGGACTGAACGAAGCCAGTGAGATGGTGACTTTACTGGGACTTACTGAAAATGGCTTTCCTGGGGGATTGGGAAGAGTGGACATGGACCTGGACCTGGAACATGGAGGCTACCTGTCACTGTGTAGGGAGAACCTGCCTGGGCGGTGAGGCTGGCACAGGGGGCAGAATGGAGCGGAGGTACCGGCCTGTGGGATGGCTCACGGGTGCTGTGGTGGGGACTACATTGCAGGCAGACATCAACTGCTATACAGAATCAGTAGTGGTGCAAGAAAATAAACTTTTAAAAATAAAATGGAAATAGGAAGAATGAATAAAGTACTATATGTGAAAACAACAACAACAACAAAAAAAAACGATTCCAGTTGAAAGGTGTTATTTTGCTGAGAACAAAATTCAATCATGATTTGAAGTCATTTCATTTTATCGTAATGAAAATGTATTCATCATATAATATAATTCAGTAACAAAAAATTGAATGAGTAGAAAAAAGCAGAAAACTCATAAATACCATGCATGGATCATAAATATGTAACACGACAGAGAAAGGAACAAATGAAAGGAGTGAACAGAGATGGGAGACACAGAACAAAAATATTTTACTTTGAGGTAATGGACACGTTTTTCTTTCGAAAAATCAATTCTACATTGACTAATTAATCAACTGACAGATAATAATGAGATGATCTATAAGCTAAAAAAGAAAGACGATGGAGTGGAAGGTCAGTGGGAGAGAGTCTGCGTTTTAGCAGTGCCATTTGCGTTTCCGACGCGCACACTGACACTGGGCAGTAGAGAGGCAGGTCCTGTGCCTAGGTCAGCCGCGGGAGCTGGCTTTCCTCCACTGGGGCAGCGCAGCCCACACAGATAAACAGCGCAGCCCCAGGGAAGGAGGAGGGCGGGGCAGACACAGAAGGCGGGGTGTCCGCAGACCCCGGGTCTGGGCGAGGGTGAGTGTGAGCACAAGGCGGCTCCACTGTGCGTTCAGCCCACAGGCGGCAGAACCGCGACTCCCGGGGAACCCTGGGGAACCCTGGGGAACCCCTGGCTCTGAGACTCAGGGGCGCCTACAGGCTACCGAAGAGCAGCTCCCTTGAAGGTTCTCCCTCTTCCCCTGGGCCTCAGAAGGGAATCCCCTGAGGGGCAATGGCGCCTTCCTAAGAGGCAACTCACTCGGAGTGCTCTTCAGGGCCGTGCGCACTCCAAGGCCCCTGCCCTGCCCCTCACCGTGTCCAGCACCGGCTTGTCCAGCTGCTGCTGCTCGATGCACAGGTGGCAGACTCGGGCCAGGAGCTCCCCTGGCTCGATGAAGAGGCGCGCGCTCAGCAGGAAGGTGAAGATGTAGGCTTTCTGGGGGGACAGGGGAGAAAGGTGGCGTGCACCCATGAAGTGCACTTTCTTTCCTTCCAGCTCATCCTGCCCATCAGGCCCAATATCATTTCTAGCCCTACTGCTTCCCCCTACCGCCCCTCCTTCCCACTGGGTGGGCCACACACCTCAGGGTAGTAGTCAGCTGTGGGCACCAGCTGCTGGATCAGGGTGTCCAGGGAGGCTGAGGATGGAGCTCCGTCCAGGAGAGGCTGTCCAGCTTGTTCACCCTCCATGGACTTGGTGGGGGGTGGACTGAGGCTGCCTGGGGTAACCATGTCGGAGGTGCTCAGTGTCCGGGGCATGCCTGCCTGCAAAGACAAGAAGCATTCGGGGCAGGTGTCAGCTACCACACGCTCTTTGCCTGTGCGGACTGGGTGACCACTTCCTGGGAAAGATGTTAGGGATCCCCACCCCCCAGCACAGCATCTTCCAGCACCTATGTCTTCTCCCGCCCTCAGTTCAAGTAATTTGAACCTTTTCAAATTTTCTCTCCTTCCAACTTCTATCCCCCAAAGAAAGCTTTGATAAAGCCACGACCATCAGCACATTCTTCTTTCCCCTGCCTGTGAAATTGGTTCAGGGATGGGCCTGATCTAAACTGGTAGACTTAGGAGCAATCCCAGAACTTTTGTAGCACCTAGAAGCTCTCTCTCCCCTGAGGTCTCCAGCTGGCGGAATGGGCACAGTCAGGATCTTGGTGGTGCATTCCTCAGCAAGTGGCACATGACCCTGCTGTGCCTGGAGCTGCTCTGTGGTTGTCTCCTTTGCATGAGCCTATTTGAGTTGAGCTTCCCTCAGGTGATGACTCTGTCTGGCATGCCAGGCTCTTTGTGAATAGGATGCTCAGGGGTTCAGCTTCCCTTCTGCCCCCCATGCTTTGCTCTTGGTGGTAGCCAGGTAGTCTCCAAACACTTCTCCAACTCTGAACTACCACCTGGGCTATTCTCCCCTGCGGGAAGGTCCCCTACCTTCAAGTTCCTGGGACCACAGGTCTATACCTAACTCCCTTGCCTGTATGAGAGATGGGAAGATGCCTGCAAGGATAGGTGTATGATCGCTCGGGATTCTAAGAAAGGTACAGACGTAGAGGGTAATTGATTGATTGACTGATGCATATGTGAAGTGCCATTGTTTTACACTCTTGTTAATTTTTACCGAATAGGATTTCTCCCCAGAGGTGGTCACAACCCTCACAGTCCTCCACCACAGTCCTCTGTGCTCTTCTCCTCCCTGTGCCTCCTCCCCTTCCCCTCTGCCTCAGGCGTATGGTCAGCTTTCCAGGGTTGATATCAAAGTTTGATTTTGACCCTTGTTTGGTTTTTCTATATTCCACATGTAAATGAGGCCATCCAGTATTTATCTTCCTACAGATTCATTTTGCATAGTGTAATCCCTTCCAACTCCATCCATTTTGCTGCAAATGGCATGACTTTCTTTTATGTTGATTGCTGACAGGTATTCCAGTATGTACATACACCCTGTCTCCATCCATTCCATCGTGGGACACCTGGTGGTTTCCTTATCTTGGTCACTGTAAATAATGCTGCAGTGACCATAGGAGTGCAGGTTTCCTTTCAAATGAGTGCTTTTGTGACCTTTGGGCAGACTGAATGGAACTGCTGTGTTGTATGGCAGATCTGTGTTTAGTCTTTTGAGCACCCTCCACACAGCTTCCCACAGGGGCTGGGCCCGTTGGCATTCCCGCCAGCAGTGTTAGAAGGCTCCTTTTCCTCCACACCCTCACCAGCATTTGTTTCTGGTTTCATTTTTTGTTTGTTTGTTTTTAATATGGGCTATTCTATTCTCACAGGTGTGAGGTGGTAGCTCATTGTTGTTTTAATTTGCATTTCCCTGATGGAAAGGGGGGGGTGAATAATTCTTCATGTGTCGGCTGGCCATCTGCATATCTTCTTTGAAGAAGTGCTTGCTTAGCTCTTCTGTCCATTTTTAAAATTCGGATATTTGTTTTCTTTTTGTTTAGTTGATGAGCTCTTTGTAGATCATTAATAGAGGCCCCTTCTCAGATGTGTGGTGTGCAGATACCTTCTTCCATTCAGTGGGGTGTCTCTTCATTTGGGTTACTGTCCTTTTCATGGCATAAAATTTTTTAGTTTACCATAGTCCTAGTTGTTTATATTCTCCTTTGTGCTTCTCGCTACTGGGGATGAATCCACAAGGATATTTCTGAAGTTTATGTCACAAAGTGTTTTGCCTCTGTTTTCTTCTGTATCTTTTATGGTTTCAGTTCTTTCATTCAGGTCTTTTAAAGGGTGTTCTTTCTTACATTCCCTAATTTTTGAGGAGGTATGATTACCAAAAATATTTAACTTTACTCTTCACCTGACAATATAAAAACACTGGGTAAGGGGCTCTCAGCCCCTGTGCTTCCTCTTCACTGCCAGGTTGGGAGAAAGTGGCCAGAGCTGTGGGTATCAGAAGCCATAGCCCCACTGGGCTCCTGGGGTGACCACATTCTCTAACCTTACAGGTTTCATAGATGCCAGCACTCTTGACTTTTTAATTTGTCTTCTGATTTTTTAAAAATATCTATTTATTTATGCATACAGAAGTGGGTACAGGCCAGAGATGCAGGGGTAGTGAGAGGATTCACCAGAGACAGTGGGGAGCAGAACAGGCCAACTGGTGAAGTACACTGCTGAGGGGAGCAGCGGGTGAGACAGGAGAGGCCTGCTAAACCACGTGGGTCACCCCCCTGGCTGGGGATAGAACTTGTGCTGAAGGCTAGTTTGGTAGAACTGTGCTTTAACCCTATGCGCCACTAGGGAGGGCTCTGTATTCTGATTTTAAGAGTGGAAATTAAATTTATTTTTAAAAAGCTACATTTAGAAACAACACCACTAGCTTCCAGGTGGCCCACTTACAACTCCCATTCTGTTGTCACAACTCCCAGTGCTTGTGGTTGGCATTAAAAATCTGTAAAAAAAAAAAAAAAAAAGAAAATGTACTGAATTAAGAATAAAAAGCTGTGGTTGGACAGAGCAGCATGTCTGGGGATGAGAAAGATGTTCTCTCAGGTATCTTTCCTAGGTGGACATTGGGTCCAACCTAGTTGAAGGGATAGAGGCAAAGATGCTTCCAGAGGGACTCCTCTGAGCTCTGATGAGGGTGTTCTCCAGCCGAGGATGGGAGGGGACCAAGGAGATGAATACACAAAGGACCCAAGCACAGTGCTGCCACCAGGAAGAGAGGGCCACCCTGCCACCCTGCCCGCCAGCACTCACCATCCCCCAGGGCCTGGCCCCACGAGACAGGTGTTAATTGCAACTGCTCACAAAGCTTGTGCCAATAAGACTTGACAAGCAGACTCTTGCTGTTCAACAGTGTTTCTAAGCTGCCTGTGGCCTGATGGCCCCATGCTGTGTTCATCTAGCCCTTGGCTGGAGCTTCTAAAACCTGCTCTTGTAACTGCTGAGGATTATCCCTGACATGCAGCCTGAAGGTTTCCAGGTCCACATCAGGGCTTCTGCCAGTGTTATCAGAAGGTTACACATTTACATCAACTCACCCCATCATTTCTCCTTCCTCCTGTTATATTAAAAAATTGTGATAAAATACCCATGCCATAATATTTACCCTTCTAACTATTATTTATTTTAATATAATTATTTACCCATCGTGTTGTGCCTTTTCCCATCTCAGTTGTAATCCCTGTGGCTTCCCATCACCAAATCACCCATGTGCCATCACCATAGTCCAGCACACTTCCCCCCTACATCCCATTTTTGATCCTATTCCCCACTCCACCCCTGTAAAATGTCTCTGGTATATAGTTGTTCATTTTTATTATTATTATTCCCCCCCCCCGTCCTTTATAGTCCTGCTATGAGTGAAACCATCCAGTAGTTTTCTTTTTCTTTCTGGCTTATTTCACTAAGCATGATCCTGTTTGGCTCCAACCATGTTGCTGCAAAAGGCATGTGTTTATTGATTTATTTTTTTGGTTGCTCAGTAATATTCCATTGTGTATATGTACCACATCTTTTTAATCCAGTCATCTACTTTTGGGCATTTTGGTTGATTATATAGCTTTCCTATTGTAAATAAAGCAGCAAAAAACATGGGGGTGCAGCCCTTTTAACTATTTTTAAGGATACACTTAGTACATTAAGTACATCTATACTGTTACACAGCCATCACCACTACCCAGTGCTAGAACTTTTTCATACATCAATTTCATATGATTTTTCTATTTCTGTAAAAAGAAAACATTGGAGTTATTATGTATTAAATTTCTGGATTACTTGGATAGTACTTATATTAACAATTTTACAAAGTCCATGGACAAGGGATGTTTTTCCATGTGCTTGTATTTTCTTTCAATAACACTTTTTCAGTTTATAAATTCTTTACCTAAGTATAAGTTGCTAAGTTTATTCATTATCATGCTGTATAAGTGGAATTGTTTTCTCAACTTCCCTTTTGGGGTGTTCATTTCTTGAGGTTCATTTTGTATTCTCATACTTTTCTGAGTTAGTGATTTTTTTGTGTGGAACTGTTAGGGCTTTTAACATATAAGATCATGTTGTTTATTTGCAAAGAGCTAATTTTACTTTTTCCTTTCTTACTTGGATGTCTTTTATTTCTTGAGCTTGATCTGGTTTGTATGATAATGATGACAAGTGGCAAAAATGGACTCTTTATGCTATTCCTTAATCGAGAGGGAAAGTTCTCAGTTTTTTCAACAGGGAGTATCATGTGAGCTGTAGATTTTTCAAAGATGGATCTTACAATTGCTTATTATCTTATTATTTCCATCTATTCCTGCTTTGTTTTTTTATCATTAAAGGATGTTGGCTTTTTCTGTCACAATTGAAATGACCATGTGACTTTCTCTTTTTTGTTAATGCGGTATATTGCATTAATCAGTTTTATATATTGGATCATCCTATATTCCAGGAATAAACTTTCATAGTCATGGTATATGATCTTTGTAACAGGCTGCTGAGTTATATGTATTAGTATTTTTCTGAGTATTTCCACATCAGTGTTCAAAAGTGATATTCTTGGCCTATAGATTTCTTTTCTTAGTGCTTTTGTCTGGCATTTGTATCAGGAGAATGAAGTGTTAGGGAGTGTTCCCTCTTCTGAATTTTTGGGGAAAAGATATTGAAAGATGGGTGTTAATTCTTCTTTAGAAGTTTGGTAGAAGTCAGCGAGCTGGTTGGAGTATTTCTTGTATGACAGTTCTTCAGGCAGTGGTCATGCTTGGCTTTTGTCCATTTGGGAATGTCTTCATTCCTTACTCACTTTCGAAGATGTTTCACTGTACACAGAATTCTTGGTTGAC